ACGTCTGGTTCTGTTGCTCCTTTCCCTCCCGTTTCAGTGATTGCGCCCCCTGTTCCTGCTATGGAGGTTTCTTTGGCCCCTGCTTCCCTTTCGGTTGCTGCTCTTGCTGGGGTGCGCTCCCCTCTTTCTACTCCCCCTCTTCCTGCTGCTGTCCTTGACTGCTCCTCTCCGTTGTCTCCTCCTCTTCCTCCTCCTCCTCCTCCTCCGGACCCCGCCTGCCCACCTCTGATCTGTACTCCCGTTTCCTTCCCTCCGTCTTTGCTCAGTTTACCCATGCCCCCTAACCCTGACTTTGCTGACCCTGATCCCGACCCTGATATTCTTTAACGTGCTCTGTTGCTCTTTCGCCTTGGTTTCTTCCTTGTTCTCTGGTTTTGTCCTTTCTCTTCTCGTCGTTGTCCATTCTTCAATGGAACGTTCGAGGTTATTACGCCAATTTCCTCGAACTCCAACTTCTGATTTTGCGGTTTTCGCCCCTTTGTGTCTGTCTCCAGGAGCCAATGCTTGGTGCTCGTCCTGGTCGTTTTCGTGGCTATTCCTTTCTCTCCCCCCCCCCAGCCATTGCTGGGGCTTCTAATTCTTCTGCTCTCTTGATTCGTGCTGATGTTCCCTTTGTTCCTTTACTTTTTCCTTCGCCTCTCCATTGTTCTGCTGCTCGTATCTTTGTGGGGAAATGGTACACAGTTTGTTCCATTTATCTCCCCCCGAGTGTCCCGCTCTCTCTTCCTGATTTGAAACACCTCCTAGACTCCTTGCCGGAGCCTGTGCTCCTGCTGGGTGACTTCAATTGTCGTCATTCCCTTTGGGGTGACGTTCTGACGAATACCCGCGGTCGCCTCCTTGAGCCGTTTCTCCTCTCTTCTTCCCTGTCTCTTCTGAATTCTGGTGAGCCCACTCATTTGGACTCTCGGACTCGCACCCTTCCTTGTCTTGATTTTTCTCTCTGCTCTTCTTCTCTTTACTTAGATTTCACGTGGCAGGTTCTTGATGACCTCCATGGAAGTGATCATTTCCCCATCCTTGTTTCCTTTTTCTCTTTTCGCCCTTCCCTCTCTTTCCCTAGGTGGCAGTTTGCTAAGGCAGACTGGACCCTATTTACCCTCAGTGCTGCTCTCTCTGACCTCTCCCTTCTGCCTCTCTCTCGCGCTCTCCTCCTTTTTCATGACACTGTCTTCAACGCTGCCCTCCGCTCTATTCCTCGCTCTTCCTCTCGGGGTCCGCGGAAGTGCGTTCCCTGGTGGAATGCGGACTGTGCTCGGGCTGTCCACTGTAAGCATGCAGCCTGTTCCCACTTTTCTTCTGTTAGCTCTGGTCTTCATCTCCCCCAATCTTTCCTTCTTCGTAAACCTGTCCTTGAGTCTCGTCCTTTAGATTTCTGCACTCATCTTCAGCTTCCCTATAATGATCCCTTCTCTCTCTCTGAACTTCGTTCTGCCCTGGCCCTCTGCGGTTCTACGGCGGCGGGCTCCGATGGTATTCATTATGAGATGCTTCGCCATCTCCCTCCGAGCACGTCTCAGTATTTACTGAGTCTGTATAATCGGATCTGGGAGTCGTCGTCAGTCCCTGAGGACTGGCTCGATGCCGTTGTCCTCCCTGTTCGCAAACCGGGGTCTCTGGGTACTTCCCCTAAGGACTTTCGCCCTATTGCTCTCACAAGTTGTGTCTGCAAACTCTTTGAACGTATGGTTAACGTTCGTCTGATGTGGTTCCTGGAACACCATCACCTCCTCTCCCCTTCTCAATTTGGTTTCCGCAAGTGCCGCAGCACGACAGATGTCCTGGTGAACTTGGAGGTCTATATTCGTACTGCTTTTGCTGCGAAGACCTCCGTTGTTGCCGTCCTTTTTGACCTGGAAAAGGCTTACGACACCACTTGGCGTTATCATATCCTATCTCAACTTCATTCTTTTGGCCTTCGTGGTCATCTCCCTCTCTTTCTCCGCAGCTTCCTCTCTCTTCGTTCCTTTCGGGTGCGCCTTGGTACCGCTCTCTCTCGCTCTTTTCAGCAATACGAAGGTGTGCCCCAGGGTAGTGTTCTGAGCACTACTCTTTTTTCTGGTTGCCCTCAGTGGTCTTCTTTCCTCTCTTCCTTCTGGTGTCTTCTCCGCTCTCTATGTCGATGATCTTACCCTTTGTTGTCAGGGTGATGATTCGCCTCTCCTTCAACGCCGGCTTCAACTTGCAATTGATGCCGTGTCGTCTTGGGCCACAGATCATGGCTTCAAGTTCTCTACTTCTAAGACTTGTGCCATGACTTTTACGCGGAAACGGGTTGTTCTTCGTCCCTCTTTGTCACTTTATGGTCATCCCCTTGAATACAAAGATTCCGCGAAGCTTTTGGGGTTATTCATTGACACTCGTTTGTCTTGGTCTCCCCATATCTCTTACCTCCGTGTTGAGTGCTCTAAGGCCCTTACCCTCCTTCGGGTCTTGTCCCATACTTCTTGGGGGGCAGATAGGCGCACTCTCCTTGCTTTACATTCCTCTCTCGTCCTGTCTAAGCTCGATTATGGTTGCCCTGCTTACTCGTCTGCTTCTCCTTCTACTCTTCACCGTCTTGATGCTTTGTACCATACTGGGTTGCGCCTCAGTTCTGGTGCCTTTCGTTCGACTCCCATCCTTAGCTTGTATGTTGACACTGGCTTCCTGTCTCTCCAGGACCGCCGTGATCGCTACTGTCTTCGCTGTCTTGCGCGGTCCTTGCAACATCCTTCCTCTCGCCTCTGTCGTGCTTTAACTTTTACCCCTCCTGCGGTTCCTGTTCCTCTTCACCACCTCCCTCTTTCTGTCCGGTTATCTCGCCTACAGGATTCTCTTTCCGTTCGTATTTCTGATGTTTCTCCTCGTGTTGTTCCTTCTATGCCCCCGTGGAGGGTCCCTCTTCCGCGGTTTTGTACATCCTTGACCCATATCACTAAAGCTTTTACCCCTCCTACGGTTCTGAAACGCCTTTTCCTCGAGCACTTTTCTTCTCACTCCCGCTCCGTTTCTGTCTTCACCGATGGGTCTAAGTCAGCGGACGGTGTTGGCTACTCTGTTGTTTTTCCTGATCGCACTTATATGTGTCGCTTGCCTCCGGAGACTAGCATCTTTACAGCGGAACTTTATGCTATTCTCTATGCTCTTCGTCTCCTGCTTTCTCGTTGTCAGTCTTCCTTTGTAGTTGTTGTTGACTCTCGTAGTGCCCTCATGGCTCTCGGGTCCTTTAATCCGGTTCATCCAGTAGTTGTCGAGATCCAGCATTGGCTGTTTCTCGTTCACAGTAAATTTAAGTCGGTTGAGTTTTGTTGGGTTCCCAGCCATATTGGTGTGTCTTTAAATGAGTGTGCGGATGCTGCCGCCAAGGAAGCTGTCCGCTCTTGTCCCATCTCTCGTAAAGGCATTCCGTATTCCGACTTTTACCCGGTTATCCATTCCTCAGTCCTTACCCGTTGGCAGGCTTCTTGGTTGTCTGTTACTGGTAACAAGCTACGTACTCTTAAATGTTGTGTTTCCTCGTGGCCGTCCTCCTTCCACCGTAACCGGAGGTGGGAAACAGCTCTGGCGAGGTTGCGTATTGGCCATACTCGCTTAACCCATGGTCACTTGATGGAGCACCGCCCTGCCCCTTATTGTCCTAGTTGCATTGTCCCTCTTACGGTCGTGCATGTCCTTCTTGAATGTCCTGACTTCCAGGACGAGCGTGTGTCTTGCTTTCCGACCGCCCCTCCCGGTCACCTGTCCCTCGATAGAATTCTTGGTGACTCGGATACTTTTGATATCGTTCGCCTTATGCGTTTTTGTTCTCGTATTGGCATCCTTGGTGATATTTAGCGCCCTCTGATTATTTTGCGTATTTGATGGTGCTACATAGCCAACAACAACACTAACAACGTCAACAACAACAACACTAACAACGTCAACAACAACACTAACAACGTCAACAACAACACTAACAACGTCAACAACACTAACATCGTCAACAACAAAAACACTAACAACGTCAACAAAAACACTAACAACGTCAACAACAACACTAACAACGTCAACACTAACAACGTCAACAACAACACTAACAACGTCAAGAACAACAACACTAACAACGTCAAGAACAACAATACTAACAACGTCAACAACAACAACACTAACAACGTCAACAACAACAACACTAACAACGTCAACAACAACACTAACAACTTCAACAACAACACTAACAACGTCAACAACAACAACAACACTAACAACGTCAACAACAACACTAACAACGTCAATAACAACAACAATAACAGTGGTTTAGTTGGCAGTGAAGCTTGAGGCGCACACGCCTGGGAGGGTGTGCAGACGCTGGCCACGTGGCCACCCTCCCACAGTGAGGCTGGCCACCCTCCCACAGTGAGGCTGGCCACCCTCCCACAGTGAGGCTGGCCACCCTCCCACAGTGAGGCTGGCCACCCTCCCACAGTGAGGCTGGCCACCCTCCCACAGTGAGGCTGGCCACCCTCCCACAGTGAGGCTGGCCTCCCTCCCACAGTGAGGCTCACTAGAACAGGGTGACAACAAAGTTCAGCTTGTAATTGTTATATTGATATTTGGTAGTAAACACCAACCCACACCCGCTACACTCCAACCCACACCCACTAAACACTCGCTACACACCCACCCACACCCGATACATAAACACCTACTACACACCAACCCACACCTGCTAAACACACCCAAGTGAAGGAAGGAAGAGAGAGAGGGGGGTAAAGGAGGAATAAGAGAAGGAAGAGGGAAGGGAAAGGGTGACAGACCTCTCCTGTCTAAACGTTACAACCCCCTCCCATGAATTAAGGAAGAGTGGTATATATGGAACATTAAGTATGACTTTTCTTACCCTGTTCCCTAACACTGAACCATTGCATCGAACACAATTATCTAACCTAGGTAAATATATTACAACCATCCATATAGTCTACGGTAGCTTGACACTCCTATCTAAACTAAAGTAATGCTTGTGTACCTTGTGTGTCCGGCAGGTGTGGTGCGGGACGCCACCGGCAGCTACGCCCTCAGCATGTGGGTGCTGGCCGCCCTCACCCTCGCCAGCTCCCTCGCCTGGTTCTTCATGCCCTCCGCGCTGGCCTACGACCTGCGCAGGGCCCAGACCACCTTGCGCCGGTCCCAGACGACCTGCGCAGCGCCCAGACCACCTGCGCACCTCCCAGACGACCTGCGCAGATCCCAGGCGACCTGCAGGCAACAGTCCCTTCAGAAGTCATAACGACGAGAAAAGGAAAATAACATTGTAAAAATGTTCCTTTGATAACAATATTATGGCCTTACCTTAAGGTTGAAGTGTGACTCAGTATACTTCTGGTCATGGTTGTGTTGACCAGTAGTGGAGGTGGGTCCAGGGACCCCGGCTGGTCATGGTTATTAAGGCGAATCAGAGGTTATTAATTCACAATCAATTGTTAACTCGTTTGTTTCTGGCCTGGCTTGGGGCCGTGCTATGGGCCTGCCTTGGGACCTGGCTCGGGGCCGGGCTTGGGGCCGGGCTTGGGGCCGGGCTTGGGGCCTGGCTCGGGGCCAGGCTCGGGGCCGGGCTTGGGGCCGGGCTTGGGGCCTGGCTCGGGGCCGGGCTCGGGGACCTGGCTCGGGGCCGGGCTTGGGACCTGGCTCGGGGCTTGGCTTGGGGGCGTACTTGGGGTCGTGCTTGGGGCCGGGCTTTGGGCCGAGCTTGTGGCTGGGCTCCCTCTTTCCTGTCCGGCCCGTTGTTGCCGTGAGGGAGGTTGGTGGGCGGCTGCCGGAGTGTGATGCTCCATGGGTCAGTCCTCTGTCCTTTTGTGGTCTTATGCTCCTGCTGTCGTCTTCACTAATTGTGCTGGAAGTCTTTTCCTCTTCCTTATATTTTATTTTTTCCTCCCCATCTTCAAATTGTTATTTCCTTGCCAACTTTTTGCCATTCTTGGTTATTCTTTCAGACATCTTCTGTTTTGACATCGGGTGTTTTGGGAGGCACACTCTCTCACCCGTAAAACTGTGGTACCCGACGTTGCGAGCGAGGGGGACGCTTTTATTGTCAATCCTCGCCTTCGTTGCTGAAGCCGACTGCGACGGACTGACGGTTCTTAAGATGGCATCGTGAGTATACTCACCCTGGGGGACGGGGAACCGTCTTGTCGGGTGTTTTATCCTCTAATTGTGGCTCTTTGGTGGGTATGGAGGCTTATTCGTTGGTGAAATTATTACCTGTTCGTGTAATGCCGATGACTGACCCTCTATTAACTTCTCAGTCTCATGGGGTGGGCGACCATGCTCCCGAGTCGGACTGTGATGGAAGACCAGGCTCTGTAGCCCCTGCTGCATTGGGCCCAGACCAAGCTGCTTCTCTGACCCTCCCAACTACCCATCTCTGATCCCCTCCCACCACTGTGGCGGGGTTGAGCCCCAAGCCCCCAGTGATGACCACCTCATCACCTGGAGCGGCTCCTTTTCACATTATGACAACTGCGCCTTTTACCCCACATCTTTCTGTGGGTGCTCGGCGCCGTTCCCTTCACAGATGCACTCGCACGATTCCTTCCAGTTGTACTATGTTTCAAGATTTGTTTGGTCCTGCTACATGGACTAAATATTTTGATCTCACCCATGTTGATTCAACGCATCCTGATGACTTCTCCCTCCATAAACACCTTGAGGTTACCTTGAGAATACCTTGAGATGTTTTCGGGGTTTAGCGTCCCCGTGGTCCGGTCGTCGACCAGGCCTCCTGGTTGCTGGACTGGTCAACCAGCCTGTTGGATGCAACTTCTTACAGCCTGACATTTGAATCACAGCCTGGTTGATCAGGTATCCTTTAGAGGTGCTTATCGAGTTCTCTCTTGAACACTGTGAGGGGTCGGCCAGTTATGTCCCTTATGTGTAGTGGAAGCGTGTTGAACAGTCTCGGGCCTCTGATGTTGATAGAGTTCTCTCTTGAATACTGTGAGGGGTTGGCCAGTTATGTCCCTTATGTGTAGTGGAAGCGTGTTGAATAGTCTCGGGCCTCTGGAGTTGATAGTTCTCTCTTGAACACTGTGAGGGGTCGGCCAGTTATGTCCCTTATGTGTAGTGGAAGCGTGTTGAACAGTCTCGGGCCTCTGATGTTGATAGTTCTCTCTCAGAGTACCTGTTACACCTCTGCTCTTCAACGGGGGTATTCTGCACATCTTGCCATACCTCCTGGTCTCTTGTGGTGTTATTTCTGTGTGCAGGTTTGGGATCAGTCCCTCTACTAATCTAACACTTGATCAACACCTGGTTGATTCGGTGGATACCTTTGTCACCTCTAACCCCACCCATACTGGTACACGTTTGTTGTAGACCCTTCTTAGGAAGTAGGTGCCCACGTGACCTTGTTGTCCTGCATTTAGGAGACCCCTGTTCGGATCTCCAAAAACGCCCAGTTAAATTGGCACTGTTATCCTCCTGCACCATGTTGCGACTGGTGTTAGCGACCGGAAAGACTGCCACGAGGATATTAAACATATCCTTGAAGCCCAAGGTCATTTTATCCTCCACGTTCATATGTTCACTCGACCCACTCGTGATCGTCGTCGTCAGCCCCTTCAAGTTGTAAAAATCACCTTTGATTGTAGGGGCCCTTCTGCCCTCTATAATTCTTGCTGGTGCCAGATGCTCCGTTCAGGAGTACATTCCCTCTCCTAGACTCTGTAACTGGTGCTAGAGATTTGGGCATGGTCCCTTCAGGTGCCCAAGTTCGGCATCTCTCTCTACCCCTTTTATAGAGACTCGGGACACTCTAAGACAGAGTGCTCTTCTTCCCAAGTTCACTGCATCATTTGCGGTGAGGCCCACCCTAATTTTTCACGCACATGTGTGCACTACAAATTTGAGGAAGCCATCCTCAATTTGAAACATCTTGATCATTTATCTTTTACTGAGGTGAGATCCCAAATACGCTCTCTCCCATCTTTTGCTGGCATGTCTTATGCTCCTGTGTTGCATTCCACCTATCCTCTCCCTCTCCACCTTTCTCAGTCTCGCAACCATTTCCAGGGCTTGAACCCGGACACCCCAACAACGACCTCACCTGCTCCTTTGCGTTCAGAATCCGAGGGTCTCCCTCCTGGTTCTCCATCTGGTGTTTCCTTCCTTCCTTTCCAGTCGTCTGTCTTCTGCCCTCTTTCCCATCTCCCACCCCCCCCCCACCCATCCTTTTTCTGAGCCCTTCCCTCTGTCATTTGATCCTTCTCACTGCCTGTCTTTCCAGGATGGTTACCATCTTTCTTCCGGCAATCTTTGTGTTGATAACTCCAATTCTCTTGTTGAGACCATGGAAGCTGTCGGCCAGTACGTTGTAGCTGGTACACTGGTCTCTTTAAGTCAGAAACGTAAGCTTGGATCCTTTTCTTCTTCCACTTTGGCAGGTAAGAAGGCATCGATTTCTTCCCCACCTTCCGACTCTGTCCCTGTGTCCCCTCCCATTTCGGTGGTCGAGTCCCCCTACTCCCCAGTCCCAGCTATGGAGGTCCCTTAGTCTTCGATTCTCTCTTGGTTGCTGCCCTCAATGAGGTGCGTCCCTCTGTTTATGTCCCCCTCTCCTCCTGATTCCCTTGACCGCCATTCTCCAATGCTTCCTCTCGCTCCGGACTGTGTCCGTCCGTCTCTCGACCGTCCTCCCACTTTCAGGACTCAGTCATCCTTACTAGATTTATCTATGCCCCATAAACCCGATTTCACTGACCCTGATCCTGGGGCCGGAAGGTCCCGGGATCTGTTGACTGATTGTCAACAGAACATTACTGCCAAAAACAACACAGTATACTGTGTTGTTCTTTGCCTTTATTTCTTCCTTGTACTCTGTTTCTGTGTCTATTCTTCAATGGAATATATGTGGCTTCACTTCAGCTTCTGATAACACAGTTTTCACCACTTTGTGTCTGTCTCTAGGAGCCGATGCTTGGTGCTCGTCCTGGTCACTTCTGTGGTTATTCCTTTCTTCCCCCCCCCCTCCAGCTTTGGCTGGAGCCCATAATTCTACTGCTTTCTTGATCCTTCATGATATTCCCTTCGTTCCCCCCTACTTTTTCAGTCGCCCATTCAGTGCCCAACCACTTGGGCTGGACGGTAGAGCGATGGTCTCGCTTTATGCGGGTCGGCGTTCAATCCCCGACCGTCCAAGTGGGTGAGTACCATTCCTTTCCCATCCCCCCCCCCGTCTCATCCCAAATCCTTATCCTGATCCCTTCCCAGAGCTATATAGTCATAATGGCTTGGTGCTTTCTACTGATAATTCACTCCCTCCCATTCAATGTTCTCTGGCCCGTGTCTTTATGAGTAAATGGTATACAGTCTGTTCCATTTATCTCCATCCTAATGTCCCACTTTCTGTTCCTGATCTTAAACACATATTGAACTCCTTACTAGAGCCTGTGCTCCTGTTGGGTGATTTTAACTGTTGGCATACCCTCTGGGGTGATGCTCTGACAAACACCCGAGGCCGCCTTCTTCAACCATCTCTCCTATCATCTTCTCTGTGTCTTCTGAATTCTGGTTCACCCACTTACGTTGACTCCAGCACTCGTGCTCTCTCCTGTCTTGATCTTTCTCTCTGCTCATCTTCTCTTTACTTAGATTTCACATGGCGGGTTTTTGATGACCTCCATAACAGTGACCATTTCGTCATCCTTGTCACCTTTTTCTCTTTTCACCCTCCCCTCTCCAGGGAAGCAGTTTGCCAAGACTGAATGGAATCTATTCACCCTCCGTGCTACTCTTTCTGACCTCTCTGCTCTGCCTCTCCCTCGAGCCCTCCTCCTTTTTCATGACTATATTCGACGGTGCGTTCTGCTCTATTCCTCGCTCTACCTCCCAGGACATGCGGAAGTGCGTATTCTTATTCCGACGTCTATCTAGTTATTCATTCCTTAATCCTTGTCCGTTGGCAGGGTCGTCGGCCTTATGTTACTGGTAACAAGCTGCGTACTCTTAAGAGTAGTGTGTCCCAATGGCCTTCCTCCTACCACCATAATCGGCAGTGGGAAATGGCTCTGGCGAGGTAACGAATTGGCCATACACACTTAACTCACGGGCTCTTAATGGAGCGCCACCCTGCTTCTTATTGTCCTAACTGCATTGTATCTCTTACAGTCATGCATATCCTTGTTGAATGTCCTGACTTCCAGGACGAGCATGTGTCTTGCTTCCTAACCATCCCTCGCGGTCACTTGTCCCTTGATAGAATTCTTGGTGAATTGGATACCTTTGATATCGTTCGCCTTATGCGCCATTGTTCTCGTATTGACATCTTTAGTGATATTTAGCGCTCAATGAATACCCCGCACATTTGATGGTGCTACATAGCCTTTCCGACTCAGTACCTTCTTTTGATAATTACTTATTTACTTGAGGCTGGGCTCAAGGCTGGGCTTGGGGCCGGACCTGGGGCCTGGCTTGAGGCCTAGCTTGGGGCCGGGATTGAAGCTGGGCTTGGAGCCGGGTTTGGGGCCGGGCTTTGGGCCAGGCATGAGGCCGAGCTTGGGGCCAAGGCATCGGGCCGGGCCTTAGGCTAAGCTTGGGGCCGGGCTTAGGGCTAAGCTTGGGACCGGGCTTGGGGCCGGGCTTGGACCTTGAACCCTCTTGTATGATACGTGGGTCCAAAAATAGTTTAGATTATGTACACAATTAAGTTTTAATTTCCAGATGAAAATGAAGACCAAGATAATGACAGAGGAAATATATGAACACAGAAGTTTTTACTTCATAAAGTTCACAGCTCAACTGCTTTCATTATCACATCTATAATTAACTCATTATAATAATTGTGTAAAAATACTTTGTATCTATCAATGTATCAAGTTAAAAATAAATTTATTTATAAAAAAAATAATGTTTTAACACGCCCCTCGAGAAAATGATGTCAGTATATTTTTGTATTTGACAGAAAATGTCAATATACTTTGAACAGAAAACGTTAATATACACACAACAGAAAATGTATCAATATATACTTCAAAGAAAATGTCAATATACATTCCACAGAATAGGTCAATATACATTCCACAGAAAACGTCAATATACACACCACAGTAAACGTCAATGTACACTCCACAGAAAACGTCAGTATGTAGGTAGGCATCCTTCAGTCTCGGGAGACTATGGAGTTGCGCCCTGGTTGTCAATCCTGGTGCAGCGTCTGGTGTGACTGATGAGGCCAATCCCAGTATGGCAATCCATCCCACACTGAGCACAAACCAAGACTGATTCTGATCTGTCTTCCTGGTTATTGGCTTTCCTTCTGTCTCTTTGCCTCATATTGCTTGGCAAGTGACTCCTCGAACGCGGAGAGACTATTCTGAACAGACTGCCTCCAGGCTGATCGGTCAACGGCCAGTGTTCCCCACGTGGCAAGATCGACGTCCATAGCATTCAGGTCCCTCTTGCATACGTCTTTGTACTGTAGCTGGGACTTGCCTGTTGGATGCTTTCCCTGCGTCAGCTCTCTGTACAGGAGATCCTTGGTGATTCTGCCGTCGCCCATTCGCACAACGTGCCCGAGCCAGCGCATTCATCTCTGCTTCAGCATTGTGTACATGCTGGTGATTCTGGCCTCCCAAGGACGTTGTTGTTTGTCACTTTGTCCAGCCTGCTGATGTCTAAGATGTGTTGGAGGCAGCACATGTGGTAGGCGTTCAGCTGTCTTCCCTGACGAATGTAGTATCCTAAACTCACTGCTATATAGGGGAGTGCTCAGGACGAAGGCTATGTAAACCGCGATCTTTGTATACTCGGTCAGCTTATTGTTGGCCATCACTCTCTTTGTCAGTCAGAACATTGTAGTAGATGCCTTACCGATGCGTTTGTTTAATCTGCGTCGAGAGAGAGGAAGTTAGAGATTTTGGAGCCCAGGTACACGAAGTCGTGAACGACTTATAGTTTGCAATCAGAGATGCTGAAGTCAGGTAGAGAGTCCACTCATTGTCCCATGACCTGTGTTTTCTTCAGGCTGACGGTGAGTAAGAAAGTTGACAGCACTCGCTGAAGCGGGTCATAAGCCGTTAGAGATCTTCAGCTGAGTGGGCGGTGACTGTTGCAACGCCAGCAAAAATGAAGTCTCGCAGACACCTCAGCTGAACCTTCGTCTTGGCTCTCAGCCTGGCGAGGTTGAAGAGCTTTCCATCCGACCTGGTCCGGAGGTAGATGCCTACTGTAGCAGATCCGAAGGCGTGTTGGAGCATAACTGTGAAGAAAATCCTGAATAGAGTTTGGAGCCAGGACGCAGCCCTGCTTTACTCCACTTAGGATGTGGAAGGCATCTGATGTTAGGCCATCAAAGACCACGGTGCCCCTCATGTTCTCATGGAAAGATCTGATGATGCTGAGGAGCCTGGGTGGGCATCCGATCTTGGGGAGGATCTTGAACAGGCCATCCCTGCTGACGAGGTCGAAGGCCTTTGTCAGATCTACGAAGGCTACGAAGAGTGGCTGCTTCTGTTCCCTGCATTTCTCCTGCAGTTGTTTGAGGGAAAAGACCATGTCGATGGTGGATCTGTAAGCTCTGAATCCGCATTGTGATTCTGCAGAGACCCTTTCTGCAAGTACTTGGAGCCTCTACAATGTGAGCAAACAGTTTTCCGACAATGCTGAGGAGGGAGATGCCAGGGTAATTGTTGCAGTCACCTCTGTTACCTTTATTCTTGTACAGCGTGACGATGTTGGCGATGTTGTTGTTGGCTTGGCACACTTAGTGTGCCAGGTGTGCCAAGTGTGCCAGGTGTGCCAAGTGTGCCAAAAGTCTCAAGTGTGCCAAGTGTGCTAGGTGAGCCAAGTATGCCAAGTGTGCCAGAAGTGCCAAGTATGCCAGGTGCGCCAAGTGTGCCAGGTGTGCCAAGTGTGCCAGATGTGCCAAGTGTGCCACGTGCGCCAAGTGTGCCAGAAGTGCCAAGTAGCACAAGTGGGTCAGGTGTGCCAAGTGTACCAAGTGTGCCAGATGAACCAAGTATGCCATAAGTGCCAAGTGTGCCAGGTGTGCCAAGTGTGCCAGAAGTGCCAAGTGTGCCAGAAGTACCATGTGTGCCAGAAGTGCCAATGGTGCCAAGTGTGCCAGAAGTGCCAATGGTGCCAAGTGTGCCAGAAGTGCCAAGTGTGCCAGAAGCGCCAAGTGTGCCAGAAGTGCCAGGTGTGCCAAGTGTGCCAGAAGTGCCAAGTGTACCAGGTGTGCCAGGTGTGCCAAGTGTACCATGTGTGCCAGGTGTGCCGAGTGTGCCAGGTATGCCAAGTGTACCAGGTGTGCCAAGTGTGCCAGAAGTGCCGAGTGTGCCAAGTGTGCCAAGTGTGCCAGGTGTGCCAGAAGTGCCAAGTGTGCCAGAAGCGCCAAGTGTGCCAGAAGTGCCAAGTGTACCAGGTGTGCCAAGTGTGCCAGAAGTGCCAAGTGTACCAGGTGTGCCAGGTGTGCCGAGTGTGCCAGGCGTGCCAAGTGTACCATGTGTGCCAGGTGTGCCAAGTGTGCTAGAAGTGCCAAGTGTGCCAGAAGTGCCAAGTGTGCCAGGTGTGCCAAGTGTACCAAGTGTGCCAGGTGTGCCAGGAGTGCCAAGTGTGCCAGGTGTACCAAGTGTGCCAGGTGTGCCAAGTGTACCAAGTGTGCCAGGTGTGCCAAGTGTGCCAGGTGTGCTAGGTGTGCCAGGTGTACCAGGTGTACCAAGTGTGCCAGGTGTGCCAAGTGTACCAAGTGTGCCAAGTGTGCCAGGTGTGCCAAGTGTGCTAGGTGTACCAAGTGTGCCAGGTGTGCAAAGTGTGCCAAGTGTGCCAGAAGTGCCAAGTGTGCCAGAAGTGCCAAGTGTGCCAGGTGCGCCAAGTGTGCCAGGTGTGCCAAGTGTGCCAGAAGTGCCAAGTGTGCCAGAAGTGCCAAGTGTGCCAGGTGTGCCAAGTGTGCCAGAAGTGCCAGAAGTGTCAAGTGTACCAGGTGTGCCAAGTGTGCCAAGTGTGCCAGAAGTCCCAGAAGTGTCAAGTGTACCAGGTGTGCCAAGTGTGCCAAGTGTGCCAGAAGTGCCAAGTGTTCCAGGTGTGCCAAGTGTGCCAGAAGTGCCAAGTGTGCCAGGTGTGCCAGGTGTACCAAGTGTGCCAAGTGTGCCAAGTGTGCAAGGTTTGCCAAGTGTGCCAAGTGTGCCAGGTGTGCCAAATGTGCCAGGTGTGCCAAGTGTGCCAAGTGTGCCAGGTGTGCCAAGTGTGCCAAATGTGCCTGGTGTGCTAAGTGTGCCAGGTGTGCCAGGTATATGAAGTGTGCCAGGTGTACCAAGTGTGCCAAGTGTGCCAAGTGTGCAAGGTGTGCCAAGTGCGCCAAGTGTGCCAGGTGTGCCAAATGTTGCAGGTGTGCCAAGTGTACCAGAAGTGCCAAGTGTGCTAGGTGTGCCAAGTGTGCCAGAAGCGCCAAGTGTGCCAGAAGTGCCAAATGTGCCAGAAGTGCCAAGTGTACCAAGTGTCCCGAGTGTGCCAGGTGTGCCGAGTGTGCCAGGTGTGCCAAGTGTACCAAGTGTGCCAGGTGTGCCAAGTGTGCCAGAAGTGCCAAGTGTGACAGAAGTGCCAAGTGTGCCAGGTGTGCCAAGTGTACCAGAAGTGCCAGGTGTGCTAGGTGTGCCAGGTGTACCAGGTGTACCAAGTGTGCCAGGTGTGCCAGGTGTGCCAAGTGTGCTAGGTGTGCCAAGGTGTACCAAGTGTGCCAGGTGTGCCAGGTGTGCAAAGTGTGCCAAGTGTGCCAGGTGTGCCAAGTGTGCCAGAAGTGCCAAGTGTGCCAGAAGTGCCAAGTGTGCCAGGTGCGCCAAGTGTGCCAGGTGTGCCAAGTGTGCCAGAAGTGCCAAGTGTGCCAAGTGTGCCAGAAGTGCCAGAAGTGTCAAGTGTGCCAGGTGTGCCAGGTGTGCCAAGTGTGCCAGGTGTGCCAAGTGTGCCAAGTGTGCCAGAAGTGCCAAGTGTTTCAGGTGTGCCAAGTGTGCCAGAAGTGCCAAGTGTGCCAGGTGCGCCAAGTGTGCCAGGTGTGCCAAGTGTGCCAGAAGTGCCAAGTGTGCCAGGTGTGCCAAGTGTGCCAGAAGTGCCAGAATTGTCAAGTGTGCCAGGTGTGCCAAGTGTGCCAGAAGTGCCAAGTGTTCCAGGTGTGCCAGAAGTGCCAAGTGTGCCAGGTGTGCCAGGTGTACCAAGTGTGCCAGGTGTGCCAAGTGTGTCAAGTGTGCAAGGTTTGCCAAGTGTGCCAGGTGTGCCAAATGTGCCAGGTGTGCCAGGTGTGCCAAGTGTGCCAAATGTGCCAGGTGTGCCAAGTGTGCCAAATGTGCCTGGTGTGCTAGGTGTGCCAGGTGTGCCAGGTATACCAAGTGTGCCAGGTGTACCAAGTGTGCCAGGTGTGCCAAGTGTGCCAAGTGTGCAAGGTGTGCCAAGTGTGCCAAGTGTGCCAGGTGTGCCAAATGTGCCAGGTGTGCCAAGTGTACCAGAAGTGCCAAGTGTGCTAGGTGTGCCAAGTGTGCCAGAAGCGCCAAGTGTGCCAGAAGTGCCAAATGTGCCAGAAGTGCCAAGTGTACCAAGTGTGCCGAGTGTGCCAGGTGTGCCGAGTGTGCCAGGTGTGCCAAGTGTACCAAGTGTGCCAGCTGTGCCAAGTGTGCCAAGTGTGCCAGAAGTGCCAAGTGTGACAGAAGTGCCAAGTGTGCCAGGTGTGCCAAGTGTACCAAGTGTGCCAGGTGTGCCAGAAGTGCCAAATGTGCCAGAAGTGCCAAGTGTGCCAAGTGTGGCAGGTGTGCCAAGTGTGCCAGAAGTGCCAAGTGTGCCAGAAGTGCCACGTGTGCCAAGTTTGCCAGAAGTGCCCAGTGTGCCAGAAGTGCCAAGTGTACCAGGTGTGCCAGGTGTGCCAGGTGTACCATGTGTGCCAGGTGTGCCGAGTGTGCCAGGTGTGCCAAGTGTGCCAGAAGTGCCAAATGTGCCAGAAGTGCCGATTGTGCCAGGTGTGCCAAGTGTGCCAGGTGTGCCAAGTGTGCCAGAAGTGCCAAGTGTGCCAGGTGTGCCAAGTGTGCCAGAAGTGCCAAGTGTGCCAGAAGCGCCAAGTGTGCCAGAAGCGCCAAGTGTGCCAGAAGCGCCAAGTGTGCCAGAAGTGCCAAGTGTGCCAGAAGTGCCAAGTGTGCCAGAAGTGCCAAGTGTACCAGGTGTGCCGAGTGTGCCAGGCGTGCCAAGTGTACCATGGGTGCCAGGTGTGCCAAGTGTGCTAGAAGTGCCAAGTGTGCCAGAAGTGCCTAGTGTGCCAGGTGTGCCAAGTGTACCAAGTGTGCCAGGTGTTCCAGGAGTGCCAAGTGTGCCAGGTGTAACAAGTGTGCCAGGTGTACCAAGTGTGCCAGGTGTGCCAAGTGTGCCAAGTGTGCCAGGTGTGCCAAGTGTGCCTGGTGTACCAAGTGTGCCAGGTGTGCCAAGTGTGCCAGGTGTGCCAAGTGTGCTAGGTGTGCCAGGTGTACCAAGTGTGCCAGGTGAGCCAAGTGTACCAAGTGTGCCAGGTGTGCCAAGTGTGCCAGGTGTGCTAGGTGTGTCAGGTGTACCAAGTGTGCCAGGTGTGCCAGGTGTGCAAAGTGTGCCAGGTGTGCCAAGTGTTCCAAGTGTGCCAGAAGTGCCAAGTGTGACAGAAGTGCCAGGTGTGCCAAGTGTACCAAGTGTGCCAGGTGTGCCAAGTGTGCCAGGTGTGCCAGAAGTGCCAAGTGTGCCAGAAGTGCCAAGTGTGCCAGGTGTGCCAAGTGTGCCAGAAGTGCCAAGTGTGACAGAAGTGCCAAGTGTGCCAGGTGTGCCAAGTGTACCAAGTGTGCCAGGTGTGCCAAGTGTGCCAGGTGTGCCAAGTGTGCCAGAAGTGCCAAGTGTGCCAGAAGTGCCAAGTGTGCCAGAAGTGCCAAGTGTGCCAAGTGTGGCAGGTGTGCCAAGTGTGCCAGAAGTGCCAAGTGTGCCAGGTGTGTCAAGTGTACCAAGTGAGCCAGGTGTGCCAAGTGTGCCAGAAGTGCCAAGTGTGCCAGAAGTGCCAAGTGTGCCAGAAGTGCCAAGTGTGCCAAGTGTGCCAGGTGTGCCAAGTGTGCCAGGTGTGCCAAGTGTGCCAGGTGTGCCGAGTGTGCCAGGTGTGCCGAGTGTGCCAGGTGTGCCAAGTGTGCCAGGTGTGCCAAGTGTGCCAGGTGTGCCGAGTGTGCCAGGTGTGCCGAGTGTGCCAGGTGTGCCAAGTGTGCCAGGTGTGCCAAGTGTGCCAGGTGTGCCGAGTGTGCCAGGTGTGCCAGGTGTGCCAAGTGTACCAAGTGGTCCAGGTGTGCCAGGTGTGCCAAGTGTGCCAGAAGTGCCAAGCGTGCCAGAAGTGCCAAGTGTACCAGGTGTGCCAAGTGTGCCAGAAGTGCCAAGTGTGCCAAGTGTGACAGGTGTGCCAAGTGTGCCAGAAGTGCCAAGTGTGCCAAGTGTGCCAGGTGTGCCAAGTGTGCCAAGTTTGCCAGAAGTGCCAAGTGTGCCAGGTGTGCCAAGTGTACCAAGTGTGCCAGGTGTGCCAAGTGTGCCAGAAGTACCAAGTGTGCCAGAAGTGCCAAGTGTGACAGGTGTGCCAAGTGTACCAAGTGTGCCAGATGTGCCAAGTGTGTCAGGTGTGCCAGATGTACCAAGTGTGCCAGATGTGCCAAGTGTGCCAGGTGTGCAAGGTGTGCCAAGTGTGCCAGGTGTGCCAAATGGGCCAGGTATGCCAGGTGTGCTAGGTGTGCCAAATGTGCCAGGTGTGCTAGGTGTGCCAGGTGTGCCAGGTGTACCAAGTGTGCTAAGTGTGCCAGGTGTGCCAGGTGTACCAAGTGTGCTAAGTGTGCTAAAAGTGCCAGGTGTGCCAGGTGTGCCAAATGTGCCAGGTGTGCCAAGTGTGGTAGGTGTGCCAAGTGTGCCAAGTGTGCCAGGTGTGCCAAATGTGCCAGGTGTGCCAGGTGTATCAAGTATGCCAAATGTGCCAGGTGTGCCAAATGTGCCAGGTGTGCTAGGTGTGCCAGGTGTGCCAGGTGTGCGAAGTGTGCCAGGTGTGCCAAATGTGCCAGGTGTGCCAAATGTGCCAGGTGTGCTAGGTGTGCCAGGTGTGCCAAGTGTGCCAGGTGTGCCAGGTGTACCAAGTGTGCCAAGTGTGCCAGGTGTGCCAGGTGTGCCAGGTGTGGCAAGTGTGCCAGATGAACCAAGTGTGCCAGGTGTGCCAGGTGTGCTAAGTGTGCCAGGGAATTCTTGGCACTGTGGGAGAAGGGTCGTTGGTCGCCTTTGTGTACCATGATAGTTACTGTGGTGTACCAGGATAGTTACTGTGGTGTACCAGTATAGTTACTGTGGCGTACCAGGATAGTTACTGTGGTGTACCATGATAGTTACTGTGGTGTACTGGGATAGTTACTGGGGTGTACCGGATAGTTACTGTGGTGTACCAGGATAGTTACTGTGGTGTACCATGATAGTTACTGTGGTGTACCATGATAGTTACTGTGGTGTACCAGTATAGTTACTGTGGTGTACCATAATAGTTACTGTGGTGTACCATAATAGTTACTGTGGTGTACCATGATAGTTACTGTGGTGTACCATAATAGTTACTGTGGTGTACCATGATAGTTACTGTGGTGTACCATGATAGTTACTGTGGTGTACCAGGATAGTTACTGTGGTGTACCAGGATAGTTACTGTGGTGTACCAGGATAGTTACTGTGGTGTACCAGTATAGTTACTGTGGTGTACCATGATAGTTACTGTGGTGTACCATAATAGTTACTGTGGTGTACCATGATAGTTACTGTGGTGTACCATGATAGTTACTGTGGTGTACCATGATAGTTACTGTGGTGTACCAGGATAGTTACTGTGGTGTACCATGATAGTTACTGTGGTGTACCAGTATAGTTACTGTGGTGTACCATGATAGTTACTGTGGTGTACCATGATAGTTACTGTGGTGTACCATGATAGTTACTGTGGTGTACCAGGATAGTTACTGTGGTGTACCAGTATAGTTACTGTGGTGTACCATGATAGTTACTGTGGTGTACCAGGATAGTTACTGTGGTGTACCATGATAGTTACTGTGGTGTACCAGTATAGTTACTGTGGTGTACCGGTATGAATCTTTGGTTCATCACTGAGAAGTGATGCTGTAACACTGATGAGTACTTACTACTCTAATACTATTAGTACTATTCTACTACTCACATGCACTACCACTACTATTCTACTACTCACATGTACTACCACTACTATTCTACTACTCACATGTACTACCACTACTAGCCTACTACTAGTACTACTCTCTTAGCACCTACAAACTGATGAGTTACTAGTGAGTACTGTGAGTACTGTGAGCACTCACACCATCAAGGGTCAAGAGTATCGCCTTAAGGACGCCCCGAGACTGACAGTGTGGACACCATAAAGAGATAAGTCATATCTTATCGTCCGTCATCACTGCCCACTGTCCATAAAGATTAGTTCGCATTGATTTCATATGAAAATGCTTCATATTTGTATTAAATTCTGATTTATTAAGGTTATTACGCGTCGTTAGTGACTTAGGGTTGTAGTGATCACTACATCCTTCAGTGGCCATAACACACGTTAACTACAGTAATATTATCAGTCGTAGAGTAACAGGGACATGTCACTAACTTCTCGGGTCTGGGGTTCAATCCCTGTAGCAGGGCAGAAGCGTTTGGGCAACGACCATCAACACCCACCCTGAGATTCAACCATCAACACCCTCCCTGAGAGTCAACCATCAACACCCTCCCTGAGAGTCAACCATCAACACCCTCCCTGAGAGTCAACCATCAACACCCTCCCTGAGAGTCAACCATCAACACCCTCATTGAGAGTCAACCATCAACACCCACCCTGAGAGTCAACCATCAACACCCACCCTGAGAGTCAACCATCAACAACCACCCTGAGAGTCAACCATCAATACCCTCCCTGAGAGTCACCCATCAACACCCTCCCTGAGAGTCAACCATCAATACCCTCCCTGAGTCACCCATCAACACCCTCCCTGAGAGTCACCCATCAACACCCTCCCTGAGAGTCAACCATCAACACCCTCCCTGAGAGTCAACCATCAACACCCACCCTGAGAGTCAACCATCAACACCCTCCCTGAGAGTCAACCATCAACACCCACCCTGAGAGTCAACCATCAACACCCACCCTGAGAGTCAACCATCAACAACCACCCTGAGAGTCAACCATCAACACCCTCCCTGAGAGTCAACCATCAACACCCACCCTGAGAGTCAACCATCAACACCCACCCTGAGAGTCAACCATCAACACCCACCCTGAGAGTCAACCATCAACACTCACCCTGAGAGTCAACCATCAACACTCACCCTGAGAGTCAACCATCAACACATCCTCCCTGAAAGTCAACCATCAACACCCTCATTGAGAGTCAACCATCAACACCCTCCCTGAGAGTCAACCATCAACACCCTCCCTGAGAGTCAACCATCAACACCCTCCCTGAGAGTCAACCATCAACACCCTCCCTGAGAGTCAACCATTAACACACCCTCCCTGAGATTCAACCATTAACACACCCTCCCTGAGAGTCAACCATCAACACCCACCCTGAGAGTCAACCATCAACACACCCGCCCTGAGAGTCAACCATCATCACCCACCCTGAGAGTCAACCATCATCTCCCGCCCTGAGAGTCAACCATCAACACCCGCCCAGAGAGTCAACCATCATCACCCTCCCTGAGAGTCAACCATCAACACCCTCCTTGAGAGTCAACCATCAACACCCACCCTGAGAGTCAACCATCAACACCCTCCCTGAGAGTCAACCATTAACACCCTCCCTGAGAGTCAACCATCAACACACCCGCCCTGAGAGTCAACCATCATCACCCACCCTGAGAGTCAACCATCATCACCCGCCCTGAGAGTCAACCATCAACACCCTCCCTGAGAGTCAACCATCATCACCCGCCCAGAGAGTCAACCATCAACACCCTCCCTGAGAGTAAACCATCAACACCCACCCTGAGAGTCAACCATCAACACCCTCCCTGAGAGTCAACCATTAACACCCTTCCTGAGAGTCAACCATCAACACCCTCCCTGAGAGTCAACCATCAACACCCTCCCTGAGAGTCAACCATCATCACCCTCCCTGAGAGTCAACCATCAACACCCTCCCTGAGAGTCAACCATCAACACATCCTCCCTGAGAGTCAACCATCATCACCCGCCCTGAGAGTCAACCATCAACACCCTCCCTGAGAGTCAACCATCAACACCCTCCCTGAGAGTCAACCATCAACACCCTCCCTGAGAGTCAACCATCAACACCCACCCTGAGAGTCAACCATCAACACCCTCCCTGAGAGTCAACCATCAACACCCTCCCTGAGAGTCAACCATCAACACCCACCCTGAGAGTCAACCATCAACACCCTCCCTGAGAGTCAACCATCAACACCCTCCCTGAGAGTCAACCATCATCACCCACCCTGAGAGTCAACCATCAACACACCCGCCCTGAGAGTCAACCATCATCACCCACCCTGAGAGTCAACCATCATCACCCGCCCTGAGAGTCAACCATCAACACCCGCCCAGAGAGTCAACCATCAACACCCTCCCTGAGAGTCAACCATCAACACCTACCCTGAGAGTCAACCATCAACACCCTCCCTGAGAGTCAACCATCAACACCCTCCCTGAGAGTCAACCATCAACACCCTCCCTGAGAGTCAACCGTCAACACCCTCCCTGAGTGTAAACCATCAACACCCACCCTGAGTGTAAACCATCAACACCCACCCTGAGAGTCAACCATCAACACCCTCCCTGAGAGTCAACCATTAACACCCTCCCTGAGAGTCAACCATCAACACCCTCCCTGAGAGTCAACCATCAACACCCTCCCTGAGAGTCAACCATCAACACCCTCCCTGAGAGTCAACTATCAACACCCTCCCTGAGAGTCAACCATCAACACCCTCCCTGAGGGTCAACCATCAACACCCTCCCTGAGAGTCAACCATCAACACCCTCCCTGAGAGTCAACCACCAACACCCTCCCTGAGAGTCAACCATCAACACCCTCCCTCAGAGTCAACCATCAACACCCTCCCTGAGAGATAACCATCAACATCCTCCCTGAGAGTCAACCATCAACACACCTGCCCTGAGAGTCAACCATCAACACCCTCCCTGAGAGTCAACTATCAACACCCTCCCTGAGAGTCAACTATCAACACCCTCCCTGAGAGTCAACCATCAACACATCCTCCCTGAGAGTCAACCATCAACACCCTCCGTGAGAGTCACCCATCAACACCCACCCTGAGAGTCAACCATCAACACCCATCCTGAGAGTCAACCATCAACACCCTCCCTTAGAGTCAACCATCAACACCCTCCCTGAGAGTCAACCATCAACACCTACCCTGAGAGTCAACCATCAACACCCTCCCTGAGAGTCAACCATCAACACACCCACCCTGAGAGTCAACCATCAACACCCACCCTGAGAGTCAACCATCAACACCCACCCTGAGAGTCAACCATCAACACCCTCCCTGAGAGTCAACCATCAACACCCTCCCTGAGAGTCAACCATCAACACATCCTCCCTGAGAGTCAACCATCAACACATCCTCCCTGAGAGTCAACCATCAACACCCTCCCTGAGAGTCAACCATCAACACCCTCCCTGAGAGTCAACCATCAACACCCTCCCTGAGGGTCAACCATCAACACCCTCCCTGAGAGTCAACCATCAACACCCTCCCTGAGAGTCAACCATCAACACCCTCCCTGAGAGTCAACCATCAACACCCTCCCTGAGAGTCAACCATCAACACCCTCCCTGAGAGTCAACCATCAACACCCTCCCTCAGAGTCAACCATCAACACCCTCCCTGAGAGATAACCATCAACATCCTCCCTGAGAGTCAACCATCAACACACCTGCCCTGAGAGTCAACCATCAACACCCTCCCTGAGAGTCAACTATCAACACCCTCCCTGAGAGTCAACTATCAACACCCTCCCTGAGAGTCAACCATCAACACATCCTCCCTGAGAGTCAACCATCAACACCCTCCGTGAGAGTCACCCATCAACACCCACCCTGAGAGTCAACCATCAACACCCAACCTGAGAGTCAACCATCAACACCCTCCCTTAGAGTCAACCATCAACACCCTC